GCTCAGGGGAGGTGGGAAGAGTAAGAGCCAGAGGGGATGGAGGACACCAGGAGAACAAGGCCCTCTGGATCAATAAACAGCGTATTTGAGCTCACAGAGACTGAAGCAGCAAGCACAGGCCTACACGGGTGAGCACCAGCTCCTCTGCATATATTTTACAGCTATTAACGTAGTGTTTTTATGGGACTCCTGACCGTGAGAATGAGTGTCTCTGACTCTCATGCCTGCTTTGGGGGCTCTTTCCCTCCTGTTGGGTTACCACGCCCAGCTTTGATGGGGTAGCCTTTGCTTCATCTTTTTACAACTTATTTTGTCATGTTTGGTTGTTACCTCTTAGAAGCCTGTTCTTTTCTACTGAGAGACAGAAACAGTGAATCTGGAGGAGGAGAGGAGGTAGGGAGAAATGTGGAGGAGTAGAGGGAGGAGAAACTACAATCAGGATATAGTGTATGAGAAAAGAATCTATTTTCTATTTTTTTTCTCTGCAGAGACAGGGTTTTTCTGTAGCCCTAGCTGTACTGGAACTCACTCTGTAAACCAAGGCTGGCCTCAAACTCAGAGATCCACCTGCCTCTGCCTCCAAAGTGCTGGGATTAAAGGCATGTGCCACCACCACCTGGCTAGACTCTGTTTTCAATTTTAAAAAAATATAATGAGCATCTTAGGCAGGTCCTGGTGGCTGTTATTTCATCTCTGTCCTCCTGGTTGCCTGTTCTAGTCTGCACTGCGTCTCTTAGGGTAGGAGAAGATAAAAAAGCACATCTAGAATGGGTGAACAAAGTCTATAACTTTCTGGAAAAAGGGGAAAATGGGCTCTGTGGAATCAAACTCGGGTCTTTCTGCTTACAAGGCAAGCACTGTAGATCAGGCTAGCATTGGTGGATTGGACGGCCCACCACGCCCAGTGATGGTTAATTTTATATGCTAACCTCCCTGGATCATGGGATGCTCAGGGGACTGGTGCATTGTTATTACCATGATCATTGGGGAATCTATCCAGAAGAGATTCATATTTTCATTTTCAGCGTGAATAAAACAGATCCACCCTCACCAAAATGGACGAATATCATCCACTCCATCGAGGCTCCGGATGAGATAAGCGCAGAGAAAGGGAGAATCTCCTCTTAGTTTGTGCTGGGAGGTCCATGCTCTTTTGCCTCAGAGGAGCTCCAGCTTTGGAACCTTACCGTAGTAAGTGACATTCTTCACTCCCAACGATGTTTCTCCGGACTTCCGACTCTTCCACTGTGAACTTTTCCTGATAGGTTTGTGCATGTCTATTAGGGTTTTGTTGTTGTTGTTGGTTTTGTTTTGTTTGCCCGTTGCTGTGATGAAATACCTCGGAGGATCAAAGGTTTTGATCTGTCTCGCAGTTCCAGATTGGAATTGTCTACCACCCATCACGGCGGGGAAGGCGTGGCAGCCGGAGTAGGAAGCTGGCTAATCACATTGCTTTCACACTCAGGAAGCAAAACCAGGACAGGAAGTGAGGTGAGGCTATAAAACCTCAAGGCCTGACTCAAGTGAGATGCTTCCTCCCACAAGGCTACTACACCTCCTAAAGGTTCCACCCCATTCCCTAACTGTGCCACAAGTCAGGGACCAAGCGCTCAGACACGTAAGCCTATGCGGGCACTTCAGGTTCAAACCTCTGAAGGCGTGGAAATGAAGTATTCACCAGACCGGTATGAATGATTAGTGGAGGTTTTTTGTTTTTTTTTTTTTGTAGAAGAACTTACATAGAAAACAGCAAGTGACTGTTAACCTGTCACATCACGTGCCTGTAACCACGCCCAAAAAGGTGTGGCCACTGTTATTGGTGCCTAGGCAAATGTATCGCTACAACCCTCAGCTGCGCCATGCATCATTCCCCAAGTGCCACACTGATGTGTGTGTTTCGACCACTCTTCCCACCCAGCATAATGGTCTAGATGAAAAACTCATGTTCATGGACAAAAGTTGTCAACGACGGCCTTGATCTTCCTTTCTGGAAGGCGGCATGTCTGTCTCTCAAACTTTATTTATTTGCTTGTTAATCAGGACAGGGTCACCTGTGGTCCAGATTGGCCTCAAACTCACTAGGTAACTGGAGATGATCGTGAACACCCCTTCTCACATCCTCCTCACAAGTGCTGGGATTAGGAGCATGTGCCACCCACCAGGTTTCTGCAAACCTAGGAACAGGACCCAGAGCTTGATCCGCACTAGGCAAACTCTCTGCCAGTTGGGTTACATCTCCAGCCTTGCATGTCTGTCTTTTCTAGAAGAACTATCCTTATCTTGTTAATCCCATGGCAGGTCACATGACCCCTCCTCAAGGCAGAGTCAAAGGGCTTTAAGCAGAAATTTGAAGAGGTGAGATCCTCTGGAGGCTGCACACAAGGGTGGATGGGGTCAAATGAGCAAGCCTCGGAGGTCTGGCTTTCACGCCCACCCTTATCCCACCAAGTCTTTTATATTAAAACGTTTCTTCCTTCAATTCCCACACTCTCCCCTGCAGTGATTAAATCTGTAGGACACAAATACAAAGTTGGCCGTACAACTTGATTGTAACACAGCAATTTGATCTTTAGGAATCAATGCCATGTTTAATGTGGGCGTGTAATTGGCTTCTCATTATTTCTAAAAGAATTGGCGGGTTATTTGTGCCTGAGCAGCTTGGCCCTGAATGTCTTACGAGGAGGAGGGATGAAGGAGGAGGTGGGGAAGAGAAGGGAGGGGACTGGAGGAGAGATTGGAAAAGAATACGGTGGCCTGGGTCTTCTGTTAGAACTGTGTTATTTCTCCTGTCTTGATCCATCCATATTACTATATCAAAAGCCACACGGTGTGTGCTTTATGAAGAACAGAATTTAATTTCTTACAGTTCTAGAGCTAGAGGTCTAAGTGTCGATGAGTGAGGAGCTAGTCCACTGACAGCTAGTCCTCTCACAGCAGCACCCATGTGCGGCAGAAGAGAGCAGAGTTGGTTCTTCCCAGCCATACATGAAGGTGACTAATCACTTTACTGAGAATTAATAAGTTCTGAAGAATGCTTCCTTCTTACATTTTAAAAATTATCTTGTGTATGTGGGTATTTTGCCTGCACTCGGGTCTGTACACCACATAATATAGTTCCTGTGGAGGCCTGAAGACTTGCTGGGTCCCTTGAAGTTAAGACAGTTTTGAGCCACCATGTGGATGCTAGGAACTGAACTCAGGTACTCTGGAAGAGCAGCCAGTGTTCTTAATTGCTGAGCCATCATCTCTCTCCAGTTCCAGGCATCTATTTTTTTTTTTTTTTTTTTTTAGAAATTTTTATGTTTATTCATTATTGTGTGTGTGTGTGTGTGTGTGTGTGTGTGTGTGTGTGTGTGTGTGTAGAGGTCAGAGGGTAACTTGAAGAAATCAGTTCTCATTTCACCCATGGATTTGGGGGTTTGAACTCAGGTTATCAAGCTTGCTGGCAAAGCACCCTTGGGTGCCAAATCATGAGGGAATCTCTAGTCATCCCAGATAGAGAGGGTGGGGTCATCAAATAAACAATTATATCCAAGTCCAGCTTGGTGACCCTGAGTTACTCACAGGTACACGGGCAGCTCACAGGCAGTTACGTGTCACCCAAGAAGAGTCCCTGTCCCCAGCAGCTGACATAGTCTCAGAAATGGGAGGTGTAAGGACTCGGGCATTTTGCTCCCTCCCCACTCCCCCGGCAGAATGCACTCAGGCAGTACCCTGGTCAGCCCAGGGGTCCATGGCTGCTACATCACTATGTAGTCTGCACACAGCTACAAAGGACCCTTTAAAAAGAAAATTCCCCCTCCCCACTTCTGCTCTCTTTCCTGCTGTTCACCTGAAGGGGCAGACTTTTCCTGCCTCCCACTTATCTCTCCTCTTTCCCTCCCTCCCCTTCCCTTTCTAATAAAACTTCTCACTTAAACTCCGTCTGCCTGGTGTGTTTGTCCCTACCCCACAGTGGAATCTGCCAAGGTCCCCCACACATTTTATCCTAACAGGAGGGGCCTTGTAGAAATCTTAAGTGGGTAATCACAGATGTTCTGACTTCCAGCCAGTAATGAGCCTGCTGTGTCCAAAAGACAGAATTTTAGAGGACAGTTACATTGGGCCAATAACACCCCCTGGAGTAGAAAGATTCAGTTCAGGCTGCCATAGTGCTGTAGACTTTCTCATCTGTCCACAATGCATCTGCCCAGATTGAGGCACTGCCTTGGTCTCAGCCCAGGAACTTAGTTTTGCTTTATTGGCACTTTTGTCAACAAAACCTCTAGGGGAGGAAAAACCTCAGTAAATAGAAAATTTAGACTAGGTAGATGACTCAGTTAGTAAAGTACTAGCCTTGCAAACATGAAGGTCTGAATTCAATCTTCCCCCCCCCCCAAAAAAAAAAAAAAAAACGGCATGGTGGCGCCTGCTCAGAATCCTAACACCGGGGAGGCAGAGACAGGCTAATCTCTGGGACTTCCAGACCAGCCAGCCTGGCTTATTTGGCAAGTTCCAGGCCAGCGAGAGACCCATGCAGGTTCCAGCGTTTTGGAAACAGTGGAGCCACGGCTGCATTCATTATTATTCCTGTTATTCAGGTGTGCCAGGGCAAGAGGTGTCCAATCAGCGTTTACAAAGGACAGCCAATTGACTCAGAACTGAATATCAGATTTGTACCCGGAAACCAAAGCTGCAGTTCCAGAATGGGAAAGGCAGAACAAAGCACAAAACAATCACCATGAGGTCCTTCAAAGCCCCCGCCAGCGGCTCTGGCGCTGGTCAGGTGGATCAATAGCAATTTGGGGCGCTAGCAGGGGCGCCATCCCGGTTATCTGGATGAGCTGAATATGATGGGTTCCGGCTGCTTCCAGGGTCCTCTGGGAAACTCATGCACCATCCACTTAGGGCTGGAGCCTGGCCATTCTCCGGCCACTCCCACCTCCCTCCTCTAGGCCCAGGCTGGATGCTCCCACCTCCTCCACACTGCCTCCTGTCCTTCTCTGAGCTGTTCCAAGAGGATGGAGGCCAGGGGATGCTGCCCTGAGGCTTTGGGGAAAGCTAGGAGATGCTGCCCTGAGGCCCTGGGCAAGCTTCTGCCTGGCCTCTGTTTCCTCTGCTGCCTAGTGACCTATGCACTGGTGGGTGCTGCCCTCTTCTCTGCAGTCGAGGGCCGCCCTGACCCAGAGGCAGAGGAGAACCCGGAATTGAAGAAGTTCCTGGACGATCTGTGCAGCATCCTGAAATGTAACAGGACAGGTAGGTGCCTGAGAGGTTACTATGTTGCAGTTGCCTTAGCAGGAGGCTGTGAGCAGCTTGCTTGTGTGCCTGTAACCTCCTCCCTCCTGGTTCCTGTTTCAAAGTCTGTTTGTAGTGGGCTTGTCGGGTGGGGTCACTTTTCTTCTCTGGGCAGTGGGGAGATGAACAGACACTCTCCCAGGAGTGCAATGAGGCAAGTAAGCCCAAAGCAGGCACTCTTAAGGTCCAGCTTTGCTTCAGGCTCCTACCAGCCCCACCCAGCCCCCAGGGCTTAGGGGAGAGTGGTTCAGTGGAGATTTCATGGGACAGGAAGCAGGATGATTGGTGCAGCTTCAAGTTTGAGATTTCAAGGAGCCATCCAACCTGGGCTTGCATCCCAGGATGAACAAGCTGACTCTGTAGTAGGGCTTGTGGGGGGCAGGGGCTGGGGCTGGCACAGGCAAAGGCCAGGTTGTTTTAGCTTAGTTTGTGTGATCCACGTCAGTACAGGGGCCATTGTTAGTCTCTCAAAGAGAAGGGGAGAGAAACAAGGACCTCCTCTGCAAAGCAGAAGATGCTCAACAGGTATCCTTACTGCCTTCCATTTGTATTTCAGCCCTTGATTTGGTCAGGGTGAGTCTAGATGTCAGGGCTTCAATTTCTAATTTATAAAAAGGGAGACAAAGTAAGGGGGCCTGGGGAGGATTAAGTAAGAAAATGAGTTGTGGCATTAGACTAACACTTCTCAGTCCTTGACTCCCCAGAGCTGTGTCTGCACACTCTGCTCCTTGTCCAGGATTCCCTTTACAAATAAGATGTCCAGCCCAGCCTCAGAGATCCTGATTGTGTGGATCTGGGAGAAAGCTTGGAGATGTGTACTTGAGACAAATTCCCTGGATGAATTTGAGGTGTGGGCTGGTTGGGGAGGGGGTGGAGCAGGGGCTGAACTTGCTGGAGAGAGGGACAGCTCCAAGTATACCATCACCTCAGCATCTCCCTGGCCACTGAGTAGAAATGTCTCTATAGCAAAGACTCAAAAAGAGACACCCTCCACTGAGCAGGCCTCTGACCCCATGGGCCAGCTTCCAGTCAGTCCCAGCTGACAAGACCTGCTCCAAACGATGTCCCCACCTGGGGAGCAGAATCATACAGAGACCATTCAGGATCACATGCAGGGGGCGGGCAGGCTCGTTTATCTTTTAGTCTCTTTTATTTTCTCTTGTTCCGTTGACTATATCTTTAACCTCCTATTTTTCTCTTGCCATGGAAATTTATATAACTTTCAAAGTTCACATACAAGGAAAACAAGACAGGAATTCCATCCAGGGCCCTGATGAGTCTGAGTTTCTTAGCGCCAGGCTGCACTGCTTTGCAGATGGGGAATTTGGGCTCAGAAAGTAGCTTTTTGTCTAGAGCTCCAAGAAGTAGTCAGGGAGAGTCTAGATGCCACCGTCTGGATTCCCAGGCTGGTGCTAGTAGATTCAAATGGGTGGTGCCTTCCCCTGAGGCTGGACTCTGTGCTATCCTCTTAGCCCAGGGACCAAGGTTTCCCATCCCAAGAGACAGCCTCGGTCTGAGGCCGGGAGCTCAGGGCACTCACCGAGCCTGTATGCTCAGTGTCTTGCAGAAGCTGGTGCCTTGCTTCTCAGCACTGACTGAGTTGCTAAAAGCTCTTTGCTTCCAGAATTCCACAAGAGAGACAGCAGAGGCTTTTATTCCTCTTTAAAACAAATAAAGAAGGCTGGGCACGGTTGTGCATGACTATAATGTGAGCACCCAACAGGCAAAGACGGGGAAGATTGGTACAATCTGAAGACAGGCCATGCTATATTGCAAGTTCCAGGCCAACCAAGGGTGCGTAGCAAGACCCGTCTCAAAAAATTACAGCAACAGAAAACCGAAGACCCAAACTACAACAAAACAAACAAAGTGAAACATGAAAGGAAAGGTTCAAACATTAAGAAATCCTGCAAAGGGCTGAGGCTGCAGCTCAGCCAGCAGCGTTTGGCTACCATGAACAAAGCTCAGCATTCGAGCCCCTACACCACCACACAAACCAGCCACAATGGCTCGTGCCTATAATCCCAACCCTTGGGCATCGGAGTTACGATGATCAGAAACTCGAGGTTACCTTTAGTTATTACAGCATTGGAGATCAGCCTGGGCCCTCTCTCAAAATAAAAAACAAAATAAAATAAAAATCAGTTTGGGACTGTGGAAGAAGAGGAGGAAGCCTCCAAGGCTGCTGAGCTCAGCTCGCACCCAGGCCCCCCAGGGGATGACCCAACCTCTTAGACTCTGTAGCTGGATCTGAGCTGTGGGCTTTGGTGGGCAGACTGCAGTGTTGCTGGGACAGTGTGGGTAGGGGTGGTGCTGGCCCTGGGTCCTCTCACTGGGCATGACTGTCTGCTGCTCTGGTCTCTCCCCAGCGGTGGAAGGCAACAGGACGGCCCTGTGTAAGCATCTGCAGCAGATAAAACCCCAGTGGTTCAAGGCGCCTGCAGACTGGTCCTTCCTGAGCGCTCTCTTCTTCTGCTGCACCGTGTTCAGCACAGTGGGTAAGTGCAAGGGCTTAAGCTGCAAATAACTGCTTGCCTGGGACACGCATGGCGCTGCCGGCTGGCAGGAGTGCTGAGGCATTCCTTTTATCTAATGCAAGGGACAGTGGTGGTGTGCCTACCTCAGGAGCTGTCCCTGGAACAGGGGGAGCAGCAAGGAGAGCCACTGCTGGTCCATAGGCTCCAGAGGTGGGTGGCGAATCGGAAGATAGCATCCTTTCTTCTTCAGGTGGTTGCAATCCTATGCCTGGGCAAGGGTTCATGTAAGCAAGTGACAGGCCATACTGAGGTCCTTCTTGTACCTCTGACTGAGTGCTCATGCATGAAGCTGTTGGCCCACCATGCACCCCTGTACTAGCTGGGAGCATGGTAGACCCGGCCCTGGCCTGCAGGCTCCTGGGTGACTTAGACACGTTCACGGGTGATTAGCCGGCATCTGTGCTTCAATGACAGTGGTGTCCTTGGGGTTCCTGAAAGTAGAGAATGGGGTGGGGGCAGCTGTATCAGCCATGGGTGGGGGTATCCAATGTCTTAAAGGGGTGGCATTCTGTTGAGCCTGCTGGAGTCCCAGGCAGGAGAAATGGCCCCCGTAAAGCGCCAGCCTTAGTGTCCCCTTTAGGACTTTAAGACTCCGGGAGAAGCCTTGGGAGCCCTTCCAGCCTCCAGGGGTAAGGGGGACTTGGACTCTATGTCCTAGGCCACCTCTGAGGACTTTAGTAATGAGAGCAGGTTCAGTTAGCCTGGCTTCCATTTGGGAGTGGACCAGTAGGACCTCTGGGAGGGCCAACCCCAGAGCTCTTAGGTCAGAGCTCTCAGCAAGACTAAAGCTTCTTGCTTAGCTCCTGCTCTTCCTGGACAGACAGAAGCCTCCCCAGGTCCTTGTCCTTCAGAAGAGTAGGCTCCAGTCCTAGGAGGGTTGGGACCACAGCAGCCACAGAGATGCTGTTCTATCCCTCACACGCCAGGGTGCAGACCCTAGTGGCCAGCTGTGCGTTTTGGAGCTGGGTAACATCTAAAGGGATGTGACCCTCCGACACCTGGACCCATAGCTCCTCTACCCCTGCCAGTCTTACCTCTAGGTAGGGGCGTCACTTCCAGCACCCGCCTGACCACCTGACTCACAATCCATGGCCAAGCGCCACAAGAAGACTGTTCGGTCATTCCCTCCCCTCACCCCATCCCATACACGCCAGGAAGAGGTTGATAGCAGTACAGGTCAGGGCAGATGCACAGCTCTCATGGCATTAAATATCATGTTTCTGTCACCCTTTTGCTCAGTGGCTCACAGAGACCAACAAGGTCCATATAACTTGTAGACATAACCACATGTAGAGTACCCTTTCTTCCTGGGTTCTCTACAGACAGCAGCGACTTATCTCCTTCCCTCTCTCAGATGGTGGGTGACCAAGATCCAATGATGTACTCCTAAGTGGGGAGGAGAGTTAAAGAACCAGCGCTTCGGATTACCGTACTTGGCATCCCTTGGGGGAGGAGGTGAGAAGATCCAGCGCCAACAACTCAGGCACTGGGAGTCAGCAAGTAGCAGAGCATGCTTCAGAAGGAAGTTAGACCTGGCTTTATACCCCCTCCCAAGGTCCTACTGGCTCAGGCATTCTTTCCTCCTTCGGGTCTCTCAATCAGTTTCTCTGGTCCTTGAGGTAGGCTTGGTGGCTTGCAGGCTTGGTTCAGGGAGGTTGTGCCTGCCACGCACACTCATGTGGGCCGGCCTGGACACCAGGGGCAGGGCAATTGCAGTTTGGGTAAGCTGGCCGCAGTTTCTCTTGCAAACCAGGGAGAGGGGCTGCTCACTGGGACACCGCCATCTGTCTCCGCATACTCTACACACACCTTGCAAGCACCTGGAGAGCTTTTGTCGATCTTTCAGAGCCAATCTTAGTAGTTTGAGCGCAGAAAGGCAGTGTGGGTAAAGGGTAGATAACAGGAACCCACCCAGTAGGAAACCACAGTTGCACACTCAAGGAGCAAGTGACTCACAACCTCCGCTAACTCTCACAAGCGCCCCATGAGTGAGGGTCTGTGACTGTCCCCACGCACAGGTGAGGCATGAGGATTTTGGGACGGCCAGGACAAGCGGGGCAGTGGCCAACCCCTGTATTAGTTACTTCCCTGTGGCAAAATACCAAACAAAAGTAACTTAAGGAAGGAGGAGCTGGTTTTGGCTCACAGGAAGAGGGTGTAGCCCATCCCCGTGGGGACTTTGAGACAGCAGGTGACATCGAATCCAGTCAGGAAGCAGAGAATGCTTGCTTCCTCCCCTCTGTTCAGTAAGGGACCCCTCCCCCCACCCCAGGTCATAGAATGGTACCACCGAAATTTAGGGTGGGACTTCCCTCTTCAGCTAACCTAGTCTAAGCAATCACTGGGGCCCAGTGTGAAAGAAGTGTGTTCAGGGAAGAAGCAACCTTGAGTAACCAGATCTGACTCACGGGGCCTCACAACGGCCACTGTCAATGGCTAATTCTCCGTCATGGGAACCCGATTTGTTTCTTGTAGGAAGCTATGTGGCACGTATGTCCTCCACCTACTAGACACAGGAGCATGTCTCACGATGCCCCTTACACCCACGCTGGTCGCCCCGGCTGTCTGCAAACATTTATAGATGCGGTCTAGAAGCCCTTGACTTCGTACGACAGATCAAGGTGTGTTGGACCTGTGGAGTCCACGCAACTGAGGAGTTTGTGAGGAATGCAAATTAATGTTCAGCTCCATCGAGTATGGCCTCTGCAATTTGTCTTAACCCGGTGGCTCTCAACCTTCCTAAATCTGTGACCCTTTAATACAGCTCCTCATATTGTGGTGACCCCCAACCATAAAATTATCTTTGTTGCTACTTCATAACCTGTGATTTTTCTACTTCTATGACTCATAATATAAATGTGTGCTTTTTTCCTGATGGCCTTAGGCAACCCCTGTGAAAGGGTTGGTTATTCAACCCCCAAAAGGGTCAAGACCCTTAAGTTGAGAACCACTGGCCTTATCTAGTTCACTAGAACTACCTTTGAAAAAACTTGAACCTCCAATCTTCTTGCCCAAGTGCTGTGCCCACGCAGCGTGCGGATCAATCCTAGAGCCTGTGTACATGCTAGACAAGTACTCTAACCAAGCCAGTCTGGTGCACACGGACACTGGAGACATCATTATCCGCACGAGCTCTCAGCCCAGCCACACTTCATAATCTCCCCCCTATCTAACACAAGACCCTGCCACAGATCTATCAGAATCCAGGCCCAGGTTTCCATAGGAGCCCTCCAGGTGACTCTAATGGGAGCCAAAGCCTCAAATCACGGATGTAGCTGAAATGCATTAGCTTGGTTTAAATCTCAGGAAAGCCCAAACCACTCCCCTTTGAATGAGTGGAGTAGGGAAGTCTGTCCAAAAGTGCCCTGGAGGAGGGAGGTGGGGCTCATTGGCTCTGCCTGTGATCACTGCTGGGTGGGACAATCCCCCTGAAACCCTGCTCTCCAGCCCCCCCATGACACCACACCCTGATGCTAAGGATGTGACACCTGTGAGTCAGTTGTCACCTGGCTCAGCTCCTGGGATCAGGAAGGGAAATGCTCTGGGCCATTAAATACTTGGCAGGCTAAGTGCTGCGGAGTGATTGTATCGGAACAAGGGATGCATTATAGGAAGTGATACTTTCCCATTCCGCATTTCAGCATTCGGTAATTGGGGCCGTTAGTCCGTTCCCTCAGTGGGGCTATGTGCCCTCTGAGACCTCCTTCCCAGGGTTCTTTCCTGGGGTGTAGTAGGTCTTCTGTGCTAACGTCTCACTCAGAGGGTCTTCTGAAGCCCACCTTGGGCTGGACGTATTCTCGGGGGCAAGGTCTTTGAGGGAAAAGCGCAGGCTCCTGAGGGATGCATCTGTGTCGCCTTCAACAGGTCACAGCCTTATCTGTTTATCGCCCATTAAATTTGAGCAGTAATGGAGACTGCCATGAATTCTGCTGGGCAGGGGATTTTTGATTCTAAAAAGCACTTTACAGACTGTTCGAGTAATATTTGATTTGATTCTTTAAATCAAAGTAAATTTAACTCTAAGCCCCGACCCTGGGAGCCCGGGCAGTTACTTTTGAGAAGCCCTTTGTGAGCTTCCAGACACTCTTGAGAATGTGGGGCTTGTACCCTAGCTGGAAAACAAGGTGTCTCACACGTAGGGGACTTGCCCGTGGCCTCTGACTCATGCTCCAGGCTCAGTGTCAGCTCTGGACTTTTTATCTTCCTGCCTCAGCCTCCCAAGTAGTTTTGATTCCTGCTCTGGACTCTTGGGGATTAAGCGCCACCCTTTGCTTTTGCACCCAAGGGAATCGAGGCAGCAACTGATAAAGTCCTTTGGCCCAGGTCACAGAGCTCGTGAATCAGCGAGGTGGGCAGTCCCCTCTGTAAGGAGTACGGTTTTTCCTCCTGCTGCCTGGTATTGTCCCCCTGCCGCGACAGCCCCAATTAACACACCGAGACTCTGTATTTGATACAATGCTGTTGGCCAGTTACTAGTTTCTTATCGGCTAGCTCTATTTTAATTATTAACCCATTTCTGTTGATCTATGTATTTCTCTTACCGGGGAGCCGGCCAGCATACTGCTTTCTCCCGACTCTCCATCTTGGCTCCTCCTTACTACTTCCTATTTCCTCCTTGTCTCCTAGTCCCTCCTATCTTCCTTTCCTATTGGCCAACAGTGCTTTATTATTAACCAGTATGAAAAACATTTACATAATGGGATCTCCCATCACACATCCCCTTCTCAGTCACAACACTTCCTCTGCTCCATGTTCCTGAATTCTGCCAACTGGAAACTCACCCCAGAATCATACCTGTTCAGTGAGGATTCAGATGCGCCAGCTCCGTCTGCCAATCTCCCAAGGTGCTCCTTCTTTCTTTACGTCCCTAGACCCTCATTTCCCAAGCCTCACCTCGGTACCCTTCTCCTGATCCATATCCACTAGCCACACTGGCTGTCTTAGTTACGGTTCTATTGCTGCAGAGACACCATGACCAAGGCAACCCTTATTGGGGGGGGGGGAAAGACAGCGTTTAATTGGGGGTTGGCTTACAGTTCAGAGGCCCAGCCCATTATCATCGCTGCAGGGAGCATGGTGGCCGGCAGGCAGACACTGGGCTGAGAGTTCCACACCCTGAACCTCAAGCAGTGGGAAGAGAGACTCTGGGTTTGGCACAGGCTTCTGAAACCTCAAAGCCCACCCCTGGTGACACACTTCCCCCAACACGTCCATACCTCCCGATCCTTCCATCACTACCAAAGAGTCCCGCCCCCTGGCGGCTAAACATTCAAATATATAAGCCTATGGAGGGTATTCTTATTCTACCGCCACACTGGCCTTCTGATTCATCATATATAGCTACAGCTCTACTCTGGAGACACGCTGGTTAAGATTTAGAATCCTCCCTGGGGAGACATAGAGGCCTGAGCTTGGTGAGTGCATTGGCAGGCTGGATTTCAGCTCCCTGTCACACCCTTGATAAATGTGCAGTGCACAAACTGCTCGGATGGATGGGAGCAGCCACAGGGGCATCGGGCACACTGTTGCTGCCTCTCTACCTGGCTAGTCCCTGCTCCCTGAGCTTGCTAATCTCAGCTGTCAACTTGACACGGGGCAAAGGGAGCCTCAGTTGAGGAATCACCTCCACCAGATTGGACTAAGGGCATGAGTATGGGGTGTTTTCTTAATTGTTAATTGGAGGGGGGGCACGGAGGGCAGGGGAACAAGCCACTAAGCAGGATCCCCCCCCCATCTCTGCTTCAGTTTCTTCCCCTAGGTCTGTGCCTTGAGTTCCCGCTCTGGCTTCCCTCAACAATCTAAGCCTCACAAACCCTTTCCTCCCCAAAGTAGGTTTTGGTCAGTGTTTCATCACAGCATTGGAAGTAAATGAGGACCACCCCCATCTCGATCTTTGTTCAAGTCACCCAGACAAGAAGTCTTTCCTGAATGGAAGCCTTTGATTTAACCACACTTTTAGCAATTTGTTCTCTGCCTGTGATCGAGCCTCATCTCAAATAGCAATAGCCATATTGGTGGGTATCGATTAACATCTGCTTCCCCTGACCCAGAAACTCGGAGAGGTTGGACCCTGTAAACGCATTGTGTGTTTGTCCTTACTGGATTCATTAAGAACTCAGGAATGAATGAATACATGAAATTAACCAACCCTGCTGCCACCCACGTGGTCGGTTCCCTAGCCTTCGGGGTGTGTGGTGGTCTAAGATAGATGAAAGGAATCTGATAAGAACTCTGGAGGGGACGGGGGACCACAGGCCCCTGCCCTTTCTCCCTAGGATCCCGCTGAGGTGGCCATCCCATCCCATCTGGAGGTAAACTTTCCAACAGGGAGCCTTGAGCAGAGACAAGACTGCTGCCCAGCTTGCTAAGAATCACCTTCAACTTAATTTACATAATTGATGCATTTTTCTATATTAATCAAAGATTAAACACATAAACGTACGCAGCAAAGCTTTTTCCTCTGCTTGTCAGCCATTCTAAAAAGCTCCAGTCGCCTATGCTGAGGAGTCGCTGGCTCAGATCCCATCTTCTGCAGAAAGGAGGGTGGCATGGAAGACCCCCACACCCTCTAACCTGAAGTGCAAAAAAAAAAAAATGAGCAATTAATTAGGGGTCTGCTAAGCTCAGAGCTGGGCGGCCGTAGATTTGTGAGTGCTGGGTGCTGACAGCCTCTCTGCCACCCATGAACTCATCTCTCTCCCCTGAAACTCTGAAGCTGCTGGGGACACAACTGTGACTTTATCTTCTTCCTGTTGTTCCCTAATACAACACACACTGCTGTCTGCATTGTTGGCATAAAGTTAATGATCGCTATACAGAAACAAATACACCAAGAAAGAGGTCCAGGAACCTCGGAAAGGACAAAGGCGGCTTCTTAGAAGCCAGCACCTTTGGCAAGATGAAGGAAGCGATGGAAATGACTGCCTCGAACACCTGTGCTCTTCCAGTGAGTGTGGGGTGGGGCACAATAAAAAAAAAAAATGATGGGTGATTGCTTCATCTCCAGCATGTCCCCTGCCAAGGACATTTTTCAGTCTGGATGCGAGCTGCCTCTCTTCTTTCCCTTTCCCTCGGTCAAGATACATGCCAGACACATGGCAGATGCCTTGGGATGAATATTTATTTGGGATATTTATTCACGCACACACTTATTTTCAGCACTGGGGTAGGGGTTGAACTTGCAACCTTCTGCACACTAAGAACAAGCTTCCCCCCTGAGTTCTGCACCTAGTCCAGGATGTTTTTACTGGGTAAAGTTGCATGTCCAGAAAGAAACGGCAGGTGTCTTTTGAGCCTCCGAGGGATGCTGGACTGATGCCAACATCAGACTCTTGTCTCGTTTCTCAGGTTATGGCCACATGTACCCCGTCACCAGGCTTGGCAAGTTCCTGTGCATGCTGTACGCTCTCTTTGGGATCCCTTTGATGTTCTTGGTCCTTACAGACATAGGGGACACCCTAGCCACCATCTTCTCCAGGGCTTACAATCGGTTCCAGGCTCTCCTTTGCCTCCCCTGCACTCCCTCCGCCTGGTGCTCCAGCCTGCTCTGCAGGAGGCAGCCTGACGTCAAACCTGTGGGTGAAGCCATCCCTCAGATCGTCATCAGCGCTGGTGGTGCTGATGCCGATGAGCTCCTGGACCCCCAGCCGCACAGGGGGCCTGCACCGCCGAGCTGCGGTGTGGAGTTATTTGAGAGATTAGTTGCACGAGAGAAACAGGACAGCCTGCAACCTCCCATGAGGCCTATAGAGAAGAGCAACTCGTGCCCTGAGCTGGTGCTGGGACGACTGTCCTGTTCTATCCTTAGCAATCTGGATGAAGTGGGCCAGCAGGTGGAGAGGCTGGACATCCCTCTCCCTGTCATTGCCCTGGTCATCTTCGCCTACATCTCCTGTGCAGCTGCTATCCTCCCCTTCTGGGAGACGGAGCTGGGCTTTGAGGATGCCTTCTACTTTTGCTTCGTCACGCTGACCACCATCGGGTTTGGGGACATCAAGCTGAATCGTCCCCACTTCTTCCTCTTCTTCTCCGTTTACATCATCGTTGGCATGGAGATTGTCTTCATCGCCTTCAAACTGATGCAGAACAGGCTCCTGCGAGCCTACAAAATACTCATGCTGTTTCTTTGCAGAAGGGAAGTTTCACTACCTTGCTAAAAGGTGAGGGCTCTGGCAGCTCTGGAGTGACAGACACAGGCCCTGCAAATTCCCTGGCTTTGTGGGTATGATAACCTGCTATCTGAGCTCCTGGGGCTTGGGAAACAAAGCCTGTGTGAGGTCCGAGGTCAGCCTTGAGGTCCCTGGAAGGGAAGCTGAGCCACACTGGTACCTAGGACAAGAGTGAAGGTTATCTCCATGGTTCCCAGTCCAGTCAGTGTCCCTGTCTGCACTCCAGAACGGGGCCGTCTTAAGAATAAGAAATAAGCTGACGATGTCACTGCTTTTTCTGTGACAGGAAGAAAAAAAATAGACCTTTGTTCTTGGCATGTGTATTTTGAGGGGAGTTAAAATCTTCGCCATTGGCCCCAGCCTCCCCTGAGCATCTGAAGTGTATCCGAGTATCCTGCTTCCCCGAGTGACTGCATGGATGCACTAGACACCTGCCCAGCCTGGGCAGATTCCAGTAGAACACCTGTCTCATGGATGATGCCACCTGAGCGAACTGGCTGGTGACAGTGTTATCACCTGCTGGGAAGGATTGGTACCCATGGGGCGGAGACACTCTAGCAACGGGGCGGAGACACTCTAGCGTTGCACCCGACTGGCTGACATGTAGTACGTGCCCCACCCACCTGTCCTGGCAAGTTACTCCCTTTGTAGTCTGTCTTTGCCCAGAAAGATGTGAGCATGTGCTAGGGCGGCTAGAAATGTCAAAGAGGGAGCAGACTTCATCCATGGACAATGGGGTGGACAGCTGGTGCCAGGCTGCTTTGCCCTTGCCATTTGAGAGCTCTGGCCCATGCCATACACCTTCTCCACTCTTTATGTTGGGCCTCGGGTCATTAACACACTCTGAAATGCCCTCCCCCATCTCCCTTTCTCATCATCCACCCCTCCCTAAGGCTGTCTGGGGTACCCTCCTGTAGAACATACCCCAACTCACGTCTGCCTCCAAGTAGCTTTGGAGGCCTAGGAAGAGGGAAGGTGACACAGACCAGCTGGTAAAAAAAAAAAAAAGGTCCCAGTTTCTTTATTTGAAGGTTATTGGAAATGACTAATGATCGCATCTACAAATCCTGCAATTGACGGATGCTGGAGAAACAAAAAACAAAGGTACCTGGGCTTGACGGCTCTGTCTTAGCTTCTCACCATCGCCTAAGGCCACTTCTCAGGAGGGTTAGGGTCTCTCCGGATATTTCCCCTTCTCCCACAAGGATTAAATCCTGAACCCCTCCAGCCTTCGAAGATCTACCTCAGGCTGTGGAATCGTCACGGTGTGAGCAAGAAACGGTGCAAACGCCAGAAACACCGGGGTGACCCTTCAGGCCCGTGCTCAGGGTCTGTGGTCCGACTTGCCCAAGCTTTGTTAGTACAGATGAGGTGAGGCAAAACCCCTCAAGTCTAAATTTACAGAAGACGCCGCTCCAAGGGGCACATGATGGGGATGGAGGGTGCCTGGAAGTTTCACAGATATGCACAGAACAATGGCTAAGTGAACCTTCAGGACAGAAGTAACTTCATGACAGGTGGCTCGGAACTCCTCAATTACCGCCCCCCTTTCTCCCTCTTCTTTAAAATCTGTTGTCTGTCTGTCTATCTGTCTGTGTGCATGTGCACATGTGTCGAGGTGTGTGTGGCGGCAGGTAGCAGAGGGCAGTGTGTGCAGTCGATTCTCTCCTTCCACCATGTGTGTTTTGGGGATGGGACTCAGATTGTCAAACCTGTTGGCCATCACTTTCCCCCGCTGAGCCATCTCATCAGCCCCTCCTTTACATTTGAGGTAGGACCTCATCAAATCCAAGCTGGCTTTGGATTTGGCACACAGTCATGGATGGCCTTGAACTCCTGATCCTGCTGCCTCAACCTCCTATGTGCTGAGATTACAGGAGTCTGCCGCTACACCTTGTTTATTCAGCCCCGAGGAACAAACCCAGAACTCCGTGCGTGCCAGGCAGCCTTTCAGATACGGAGCTTCACCCCAGCTCCGCCCATTCCTACTCCACCTGCTACTTCCTATATGCTCTATCCTGCCACTTCCTACGCCACACCCTTCCACTTCCTTCTTGAGGCAAAGAAGGAAGCAGACATGGAGGCTGCCAGGAAAGCATATTGTGCAAACTGATTATGAAACACCTTGCTCATTTGCTAGCAATGGATTTCCCCATGCTTCTGAGGAAGTGGATCTATGTGCCTTCCTGCTCCCTGTCACGCAGCCCATAGGCAGCAATACATCTCCACCCTGTATATTCCAGAAAACAGACTTCCATCTCCAGGTTCAAGACTATACATCCATGTTACCAAGCTTTTCCTGGATGCCCTCAGACCTCGATTTAAGCACTTCCTGTTGCCCCCTGGCCTGTATTATCTGTCTTATCAGCTTGGACTATGTATTTATATTTTATATTGCTGTGACAAATACCTAAGAACATTTAAAGATGGAAAGACTGGGTTGGGCTCATGGTTTCGTAGGGCTTGGTAGGCGATCTCTTGGCTACATGCCTTATCTCCTACCAGCACACTTACCTATGAATTCGGCAGTGGGTTAACTCATTGATGAAGTTACAGCATTCGGATCTAATAGCCTCTGCATAATGCCACCCAGCGGGGGATCCAGCTTCAACACGGAACTCTTTGGGGAGACAGTTCATCTGCCTCCTGTAGCACACCAAAACAGACCGGATGACCTAATGGCGCATTTATTTTTCATGGGTCTGGAGGCTTGAAGTCTGCAAACAGAAGGATAGGGTTCCTAGGTTCTGTGCAGATATCCTGGTTGATGTATATGCAGAGAGATCGTGTGTGGCTTCCTCTTTTCACAAGGGCATTGATTCGGCCCTGAGGGTTCCATCCTTGTGACCTCACCTAGCTCAAACAGCCCCCTCCAATTACCTCAGCAATCAAGTTCGGAGGCTGCTGGTCTGGGCAGTGGAGTTTTCAAACATCCCCGATGGGCTCAACTTGCAGCCAGGGTCGAGGATCAGAGTATTAGCCGCTCTGGGCATCAAGTACCCTTTCCCTGTAGGATGGGTGAAGACTTTCTCTCTAGATCCGTTTCCCTGCAGCTTCCGTGGCGTGCCCAAATTACCAGAAGTGGCCATACTTGTCCCCTCCGTGTCCCTACTGCAACCCGTCTCCAGACCATAACGAGGTTCGAGTTCTTTGTCTAACCCCTGCCTAAACCTGGAGGCACCCAAGTAAAGACAGTGTCTGCCACACACAGAACTTCGTGCACCCCTATTAGACTGCTCTGTGGGAGCTGTTGGGGGAGTCTCAACTTACCCATAAACTCCTGGACCCTGGAGTGGAGGAACACGTGTGCGTCTCACCCAGGGGTACAGAAAAGCCCATTGCCCTGTCACAGCTCATCTCTGGCCTGCACCAGGGCCAAAGGCCAGAGTGCCGGCCATGCTATTGCAGAGGCTGTGACGTCATCCTGCCCTGTTGCCCAGCAGTCTGGCGTGTTTATCTAAAGGATTACAGTTCCGGGTGAGTTCAGAGGTGGGTTCAAATGCCACAGCCAGTGAGATAGGGTGGGTCAATAGATGGCGATAACTTTAGAAGATCCTGCCCTCCGGAGTTCCCGGAGACTGCAGAGCTCTCTTGACCAAGGCTGCTTCTGGGATTGCTGAGGTGGGAGTTATTGGGGAACCTGCTCGCCTCTACTGGATTGCTGGACCTAGGCGAAGCCACACCAAATGCAGAATGCGAGTTCTCAAATGGCCACCAGGTGGCGAGCCAGACCGCTCCGACCTCGCGCTCCAGGGCCAGCAGGTGGCGTGTTCTCCTTTTGCTGCCTTTTGGCTACTCCAGGTGTCTTCAAAGAAAAGGCTTCAGGTGGAACTGTGTTCGTTCTGGAAAGGGAGAAGAGGTTCTCTGACCTCTGTTCGCTGTCCCATTCAGAACATCACCAGACATGTTACCGTGCAGTACTGATTTAAATCCTCAGCTGTCCTAGCGCGTAATAACCGTTCTAAAGGAACTCCCTGTTGGCTCCTGGGGAGCCTGGCTGGGGTGGCTGGTCCTGGCAGCTCTCCTTCACTGTCTTGCTGGGGAAGAAAAGGAGATTGCAAGGTATGAGTCTGAATTTAGTAGAGGCTCCACGGCACCCGGGATTCTCCCAGGCCTCAGTGTCCATAACTTGGGCTCAGCGTTTAAAGCCGCCGGTGCCCCAAACACACTTGTAGCTCCCCCTTACTTGGCTCTGTTTGCCTGGCACACTTTCTCCTCTGTGTTACACTGGACACTTCGAGCTGGACCCTCCGCTCTCCAGACCACCATCATGGCCCAGGAAAGGGAATCACAGCCTCCTACATCCCCGATTCCCACCTGCATTCTAGGCCCCACCCTCGGCACCCCCAACAATGCCGCCTAGCCTGACTCTGCATCCCTTTCATCCCCCATTTGAGCGCAGCTCCAGCCTGCCCGTGGCTTGCGCTGTCTCACATGGCTCTCTGCTCCTGGGGGTGCAGTGTGTGCCTCCGGTATGAGGCGCTGGCTTCAGTGTCTTTCCCCGAAGTCCCGAGCAGCGGGTTTTAAGTGCAGCTGGTCATTTCAAAAGCTCCCGGTTAGTCTGGTGGCATCCATGCACTCGGGACCCAGGGCTCACAGGTCATTTGAGTGTAGCGTGCCAGGCCCTGGAATGCAGTCCTAAAGGGGTGAGCTTGGGATGCTCAGTATACAGGTCCCATTCTTAGCGTCACAGCTTTCCCTAAGGAAGCAGAGCCCTTGAGATATACGCCACGACTTTGGAGAGATGCTGGGTCCACTGTGACACTTAAGGCTCCAACCAGTTCTCTGGGATCTGGTATCCAACCAGGCAGACAGGCAGGCAGGCAGGCAGGCAGGTAGGCAGCAGGCGGCCCAGGGTGGGGTAGCCTGGCTAGCTTGGCTGTTGCCGTGGTGATGGATGCTCACCTCTAGTTAGTGAGAACTTGGAAGCTGATTTGAGCACAGGAGAACAAAGGACATCTGTCTTGGATGCAAATTGTGGCTTCTCATCCTTCT